TTTAAAAAATGTTGTTCTTTATAATAGAACTTTACTGATCTTTCATTGGAGAAATTTACCTCTGCATTTAACCCATCCCCTTGGGTAGGAGTAGGGCTGCAATCGTGGATCGCCGCCCAAGGAGCAATCGGGGATAAGTGTCTTGCTCAGAGAGCCAGAGTTGCAGTCTGTGGTAGTGGGGCTCGACCCTCAGAACCTCAGGATTCCAACTCTATGCCCTAATCACTAGGCTGCCACTCCCCCTAGCCATTTATTGATCTAGTATAATATTCAAATTCTCTCAGACATGAATTCTGGGTTTTCATTATGTAAGGATATTATTTATCACAGAGAAACTATGAATGTGGTGATAAACAATATAGAAATCTGTAACGGTGTGTCTTTAATCTGTTTCCCTGATTGGTATGCCTTGTCATCGTTGACAGAACACAGGAGCACAGATCCATACTACAGTAGCCGGGAAAATATATCTACAGTTTCATTTTGAAATTCAAGCCATGTTTCTACATCAGCAGTGGGAGAAATGCCTTTGAAGTTTTCTTCAGCCTCCTTGCCCCAGGAAATATCTAGTAAAATCACCAACTTCACACAAGTACCACTTGATCAGAACAATAATCAAGCCAGTCTGCATAACAAATCTTTTGGTTTCCTTCTAATGTGTGTCAAAGTCCAACAGGTTATTTTGCCCAGTAGATTGGAACACAAACAGCATGAGCAAACATGTATCTTAAACAGTCTTTCCAGAGAAAATTTGTATTTTCTGTCTTGAGATAAGAGGTTTTGTATGAACCTGCCCTCCTAAAATACAACAGAGAAGTGGAAATGAAATGTATTTGTTCTCTTCTTAGCAACACATACTGACATTGTGTGCTGAAGCAACTGGTTTCTACTTGTACCTTTAAATAATTATTAAACCAAACCTCATATGTTTTTATCATCATATTTCTCCCTTGTGCGATTGAAAATGACAAAATTCACTGATAAGGTTGAGATTTTTAATGGCTTGTTAACTTTCAGATCCTGCTTTATTTGGAAGAACAAATCAAGCCATGGCTACACACTCAGGCGTAACACCTTTGGGAGGAGAGGCAGAGGCCAAAAGAAACTCTTCCAATTTGGCCGACAGTGTGAGTCGTGTGAAGCAAGCACAAACAAGCCAAAGAAATATGCATAGTTTGCTCAGATTTCTGCACTTTGTTTGATTCGACTGAGCGAAAAGACAAAGCGGTTAAATAGACCTATGCTGTTTGTCTCTGGCAGGCAAAAGTCTGCATTTGGCAAACTCGAACTTCAAGCTTTTAAAGTGCTGGTCGTTTAGTCCAAGTTAGACAGAGATCTGGCCCAGCCCAGGCACAAATGCCAAGTGCAGAAATTGCTTTGAACCTGTTATTTTCCCACAGGTCACATTAAAGCAGTTTTCACTTTATCAGGAAACAGACAAAATAACCTCTGCAACAGCAGCAGCTAGGTGTATTTCAACCGCAACATGTCTGGAATAATATGTGAGGAATGTAATTAACTGATTAGAAAACCTTTGATTAAAATTACATTAATTATATTATTGTCTGACAGAGCTTTCTGTTTGATAAAGTTGAAATACATGGCATGGTGTAAGCTAAAAACATTTAGACCTTTGGTGGGAGTATTTTTTCTTTATTCTAAAAATATATTTACTTTTAATAGGTGTTATAAAATCAAAGTTCAGAACAAATAGAATTATTCTCGTGCAAAAGATCTAAAAGTTCTTGCTTCTAATGTCTGCCTTGCACACAACCAGCTTTGATTAAGAAAAACTCAGGAGTTAAAGCAGCAACAAAGCGCATATTTCTTTAAGCAAAAAGGCTGCTAAGTACTGGGTTGTGTTTTTGTGCAGAAAAAAACAAAAAAACAATCAAATAAAAAAAAATGGACCCCCACCCTGTCAGGGGAATCATTTACCCCACAGATTTATGTTTCTGTGTCTTATTTTTCCGTTTTTATGGAAAATAAAGACATAAAAGCATAACATACCCCTGAATCTTCACTTATTACACTAAAAGCTACAGTACTGTTTGCACTTCACCACAGGAAGCAGCTATAAGAAGCTAGAAAAGTGGTAGCTTAAAACTCCCACTTATTTAAATTGACATATTTTCTAGCATTTTGTAAAACTGCTCAGTAGTTTTTACTTCCACTGTTGCTAAAGATGTTTGTTTTTATAGGCAGTTAGAAGCTACATGATAGAAGATCAGATGCAAACGTTTCATCCTTCCATTGATGTAGGAGTTAAAGAATGGATGTAAAGACAAACGCTTCAATAGGAAACACATATCTGTAGTCATAATACTTTTTTTAGTCATGGAATGATGCTTTTATGTTCTGTTAAAGATGTTAAATAAACTCTTTAGTGGAGGAAGCATAACCTTTTCCTAAAGCTTTGTAAAAACGTAAAACTTTAAGAGCTATGCTAGAAACCCAACCCTTAGCTCTCCCATAAAAAAAGGTTACAAATATTTTGTTGTTTTTTTGTTTTTTGGGGGGGTACTATTTTCATCATATGAGTAAGTATTCAGTTAGCTAATAATCTGTACATTTCATGTGTATAAATATGGTATAACACAGATGGCAACTTCTTTTTACCGCTGGCCAGTAGGTTGAGGAAGGTCCCACAGATATCCTTCCACCAAACATGATAAGAAAGATGGAAATGCAGATTCAAAACCTCTCATATTAAAGAAAAGCAAGAAAATAATTGCATCAAACAAGCTTTACGCCAATACACTGATGGACATGATACTAAAAAACAACCCAGAAAATCTCTCCTGGAAGGCCCACTACCAAGATGCATAACTAAAGCTTGTTTCTGCCTTTTGCGTATTTCTTTTATAATGAACCTCCAGAGTTTTACATTCTTTCAGACCTCCATTTATCTTACAAAGAGACTTGTCTCATTTGGTCTGGAAAACAAACAACAACACTGTCTGTTGTTATCCAGCGAGCTTGTGATCCATCTGTATCACCTTTACTGTTACACACTTCCTGAGGGGAAAGGCTGCTAACTCAAGGTTTTTCGAAATATTTCAAAAAAGAGCTTAATTCAGGCACCTTCTTGCCCTCCTCTTGTTATCTCTTGTACTACAATTATCATCCTCCTTAAACATGTGAAACCAAAAAAAACAATTACATGTTATATTTATTAACTGTATCCTCAGTATAATTTGTATGAAAAAAATAATTAATAATCAATCATATTTTTTTCTTTTATTTCAAAAACTGGAATTCTTCGCACAACTCTCTGAACTGTATGTTTATATCAATTCCACTACTGTTCTTTTTATAAATATAAGATGATTAAGAGAAAGATTAAAAATAATAAAAAGAATCATTGATTATTTTCCCCTATCTCTTTTAGTTTTACTACCATGTCTAATAAGGTTTCAAGTGGATATGCAAAATGCAAAGTTTTCAATTGCCCTACAAATGGGATTCACTTCCTTAAATTTCTCCAGCAGAGAAAAACAGACAGTAGATTCAGATCTTGGCTAAAGGACTGGTAATGTTTAATGTGGGTTACAAACTTTTTGGTCAAAAGTCAGGTGTTTTCACTAATTTCAGTTTCCTGGTCCACCCTGTGCCCAAACTACTCAGCAGTAGTTTGGGCACAGCAGTTGTAGTAGTACTTTGATACAAGTACACCCTCCTATCTTGCTTTTGAACCTGACTTTAATTTGCTGTTAATGATTGGTGAGAGTAACATTTTGTGAAATGTACGGGACTGTACAACTGTTCTGAACTATTCCAGATTTGGCAGATCTGCCACTGGCGCCATTGACATGCCATCAGGTTGATTGGGAGAGATGCCAAAGATTTTCTCATTTACCATCATAAAGATGAGGGGTGAAATGCACCTCATTGCCACTTTTTTTAAGCAATCAGATTTTTTTCTGAAGGTCCATGGGAATCAGTTCACATTTAAGGGCATCATGACCTTTTTGAAATACTAGGAATTTTTTTCTTTTTTTTTTAACAGCTACTGGTTTCTACCAAAGTAAATTAAAAACTTGTCATGATTTTTGGCCTTTAAGCTAGAGTTAAATCATATCACTAAAAAGAGAGAAATGGTTTAAGTTGCCACAACATTCAGCTTCTTCCATGCCTCTTTCTCTCCCCAAACCTTAATCTGAAAGAAAACGTGGGGAGAACCATGGGCGCTTCTAGACAGGGGCCAACAGGAGTACTGAAGACATATTACTAAAAGAAATTCTAATGATGATATGCGCTGAACAGACATGGTTACTGTTAGGTCCTTTGGATCAATTTCTTTTTTTTCTTTTTTTTTGTCAATTATTTACAATAAGGTGATAGCTTCAGTGCTATAGAGATAGTATCCCAGTTTTCATCTGCTAAATTTGTTTTTCCAAATCAAATAAAAGAAAATGCTCTAATTCAGAGTGCATATAAAACTGTAATTTATTATTATTATTTTTTTTTTTTACTTAAATGAAGTCAAAAATATGTAAAATTCCTAAACTATGAATTTGTATTGACCTAATAAGAAAATAGAATTTTATTAAACCTAATTGAATAGAGATTTCACTTCATGCAGATATCTTAATATATTTTAATCCCTTGGCCTGATTTTTTGTTTCATGCTTTTCTATGCCCCTATGAAAAAACACTGGCCCCCTCCTGGCTCCCTGTTACATTTGCTCTAGAACCGCAACTGGAGACAACAGATTTTGCTTAGAAAAGCTTTATTTTATTGTTTGATTTTTCTTGTTGTTCCTGTGATTTTAAAATTATAATAAAAGATTGATTTATATCAAACTTTATAAACCTTTAAAATCTTCGTTGCATGTAAATGTATCCCTTATTGTCCAGAAATGTCCCTTAGAGAACCACATATGTAACTGAGCGCAGCAGTTAGTTTCAGGTAGCGCCACCGCCCTCTAGCTGCAGAGCAGAGAATTGCATCCCCAGAGCGTTTCATCCCTGAAGCTCGCCCTTCATATCACTGAGGCGCCGCTTCAATGTGCAGGGACGCAGCCAATCTCTTCCTTATGACGCCAGCGAGGCTGGGCTCAGATGTCTAAGGTTTAACAGACCCACCCTGGATGAACACTTGGAGGAGAGAGAAAAGGCGGCGCTGGGAGGACAAAATCACGACCTGGATCGCAACACCTGCCAGGGCGACGCTCACTTCAGCGACGCTCGCAGTTAAAAAAAAAAAAAGAAGTGGGGCAGCATCCGAGCATCTCACCGATAACCTGCTCTTTAATGGATTGTTTTCTTTATTCTTGATCTTATATATTAATTTTAGATATAATTGGAAAGCTTTATTCCAGCGGACTGTGTGAAATCTACCTCTGTTGAGACTTTCTATTTGATCAGAGAGCAGTTATGCTGCTTTGATGTCTCACTCCGCGCTGGGAAGCAGGTTAAAGGAAGAGCATCGATGCGTTTAACGGGACCCCCTTTGTTACATCCTCATGCATGAAGACTCTTAGACTTCAACTTCACCTCTCAGGACATGAAGGATCATTATAAATTAAACGAGACTCTTAAATATGATGGGATTTTTAAGTGGGATTGGAATAGAAGATCAACATAGTTTTATTGCTGCGTTCTCAGAGAAAATTACTAAATCCTAAAATATCCCTTCAAGAAAACAAGTATATAGCCTATAGAACAATGATATTGTTTCGTAGATTCAGAGTGTTGATCCTTATGGTGTTTTTAGTTGCGTGCACTCTGCACATCATGATAGACTTGCTGCCAAAGCTGGAGAAGAGAGCTGTCGGAGCGCACGGAGAGGAGGGCGGCTGCCAGTGCGCGCAGCACCCGGGCAGGGAGGCGCAGGGCTGGGGAAAGCAGCGAGCCAGGACGGCCGCCGACGCGGGTTGGCCTAACAAGCACACGCTGAGGATCTTGCAGGATTTCAGCAGCGAGCCCGGCTCCAACCTCACGTCCCACTCGCTGGAGAAGAGCGCAGCCGGTGCGGACAGAGCCGGAGAGTCCGGCGGAGCGTCAGCGAAGCAGCACAAGCCTCTGATGAGGGAAGGGACCGGGGGTCGCACCGCCTCTGTAAATCAGGCAGCCTCCCGGTTATCGGCTTTGTTTGAGCATCCCTTATACAAGGTTGACCTTCCTCCCCTCACGGATGATGATACTTTGTTTAACGTCAACAATGACATCAGGTTTTATCCAAGAGCCACAGGGAACCAGGGATGGTAAGCTGATTAGAGTTTAGGGTTAACACTGGGAAAATGATCACTTCTTTATATAAATCTGTTAAACTTCTAATGTTAAGAAGTTTACACTGAGAAACAGATGGTTAACTGGTTTTTATTTGTTCATCTATCTTTATATCCATTTATCTTATGTAATCCTGCACAAAACTTTAAAATCATCAGAATGTTTTCTAATTATTTTTACCTTTATTAGTTCCAGTACAGTCTTAAGATTTTACTTCACAAATTCCCTTACATCAGTTAACATATAACACAACAAAGTCTTGTTAAATCTTACCATACTGTATTTCTCCTCAACTCTTGTTATTATTATTATTATTTGTCCCCCAGGCATAATGAGGAGGGGGATGAGGATGAGCTTTCTCCAACTGCCGAGGTGACAGCAGAGTCTTACCCCAACTGGTTGCGTTTCCACATTGGGATTAACCGATATGAGCTCTACCCCAGGCACAGTCTGGTGCTGGACGCCTTGCTGAAGGACCTGGTCAGTCAGAGGATCACCAGCGTGGGTGAGTCAGTCAGGAAGAGCCCTGTTAATGGGGATTATTAGCTAGGTATACTGATCCTACACAGTCTAGGAAATCATGTAATATGTTTACATTTTGGGCTGCACAGTGGAACAGTGGGTAGTGTTGCTGCCTTGCACCGGGGTCTTTCTGCATGTTCTCCCTGTGCATGCGGGGGTTCTCTCCAGGCACTCCGGCTTCCTCCCACAGTTCAGAATGAGTGCGTGAATGGTTGTTTGTCCAATGTGTCTCTGAGTTGCCCTGCAATAGACTGGCGACCTGTCGGAGATAGGCACCAGCACCCCTCGCGACCTCAGCAGGGATAAGCGTGTTGGAAGTATGGAGAAAAGAAACTGTGTGAAAAAAACAAGTTACATTTTCAAACTTCTATTCTGGACAGGATTGCCCTGTTTCTAGCTTTATGCTTCTTCCCACATCCTGATGCTGCCACCGTCCGCTTTTAACATGAAGGGAGTTAGGGTGATGAGCATGCAGTGTCCATCCATTGATTTACACAACCTGAGATAGTTTTTTTTTTTTTTTTTTAACTCTTGGTATTGATTAGTTAAATATGAACAAATCAATAATTAATGACTTAAGACAAATATGAATTTTCTTTGCAATAGATGACAGGTTAAAGTGATAAAGCAATATAATCAAAAAAATATGATAAATAGATATAAAAAGGACAGATGTGGGAGCAGTTTTAACCCTGGACAGCTCTACAATTTGATCCAGATTTTCAGTGTCCTTTATAAAAGTAATACAAATGCTCAAAAAGCAAGAACAACAAAAAAAAAATCCCAACAGAATGACAACAATCATACATTGATTTTGTCTGTCCTTTCTAAAGTTTTTATTATGATTGTTTGTCCTTCAGCTACTTTCTATTTTTTCTCCCAAACTAATTCAGCTTCATTGTATTCACAGGGTTGTTTGAGACATTTTTTATTTAGTCTTAGTTGAGTAAAAATGACTCTTCTATCAAAAATGTTTTGCAGAAATAATCTTATACCTTAATACCTTTAGGTCTTACATGTACTGAACATAAAACTAAACAAGAAGTCTGGATCCATGAAGAGGTTTGCATTTTGTGCTGTCTTTGCTGATGAAATGGTTATAGATAGACAAAAAAAGAAGTCATCTACATTCAAATTAAGCATGAGAAATTCAAATTCATGCTGTTTTCTAGTTTTCAATAATCCAGAATTCTTTTGGATTCTTATCTAGCAACTGGGTTTTCATTTGAGAGCAAACCTTTATAAGCTACACTCCTCCGTCTTTTCTCTCTGCAATGAAAACTTGTGTGATCTATGCGCCTCAAGTGGTCTATAATTGCCCCCGCCATTCATCTGTTTTTATTGGTATTATAAGTTACAAAACATATATCTGCTGCATGGCATTAGAAAAGGCTCCCTCATCAGCATTTTCTTCCAAATTTCTCTCGTTCCAAATCATGCTTGCTCCTTGTTCCTCCTTTGTGTCTTGTTTCTGCTGGGGAGCATTTGTGGCCTTTTGTTCAGGATTCAGCTTACCTCATAAATCATACTCGTGGAAGCGCAAAGAAGCACAGGTGAAGGCAAGATGGATTTATCATAACGGTACGAAGAGGAGGGGGCAGGTTTGATTGCTGCTGGGGGAGGTATTCAGAACCAAAATGTGCCACTAGAAATTATTGTGATTGCATATCAGCGGACATAAAATATAAAACAAAGCAATCACTTAAGCTATGTTTGGGCTTCTTGCCAGGGTTTTTTTATTTTTTATATTAAACTGTCAGGATTATAAGCTTGCATGTTTGGACCGGGGTCATAGCTTTTAGTTTCACTAATGCTCCGGGTTTAAGCATCTTTAATGGTTCCACAGGGAGGCTATCCACCTGAGCTGGATAGAGTAAATGTATTACACGATTCCATATCTCCATTGTTTTGCACATTTACCTAATTTAATCAAGCCCATTTTAATTTCTGTCTTAGAACTATGAGATAGAAATACATAAAAACATAAGCGATCATATCCTTTTAGTCCCCCTTTCATAAAGTGTATAAGACAGACACATGTAGCACATGGCTGCTTCTGTAAAATGGTGTTCCAATATCTTTTTACAGCGAAAACAAGATTATAATGTTATGTTTATATGTTTGTTTTGGCTTTAGCAGCCAATATTAGCAAATAGGGTTAGTGTGGGTAACTCTGTTAAAAAAGGAAGCTTGTATTTTTAACTCTAGAGCTGTAGATTGTTATTATAAGAAGATTTCCCAAATTCTGTCAGCATTTAGAAAATGAGCATGTTTTATTGTAGGGAAGGGTTAAAAGCTCAACATTTTCCCTGTCAGCTGTTTAAAGATTTGCTCTCATCCTCTTTCACAGCCTGAATACACTAAAGTTGTCTCAATATTGTATAATATACAGCTTCTTTTAAATAGATTTCTCCACTTGTTTTAGAAGAAAAAACATCAGAGACGACTCTTAATATCCAGGCGTAAAAATGTTTAAAGATTTGCCTTAAAATTAGTTTTTTCTGTCCCTTTTTTTTTTCTTTTTGTTACTTTTTGAAGTGCAGGATTAAATTGAAAGAAGCTGGGCTTGAACTCACAAGCTCCTAGTATCAGAAATGCATCGATCCATTTTTTTCTTTCCCAGTCCAATACCAATACTTGGGCTGAGTGTATTGTCCTATAATAACACTATTATTGAATGAATAGATATGAGTGAAGGCATAAGGTTTGAAATAATCATTGTTAGAAGTAAGGTAACAAATGATTAGAGATATAAATGGACTAATTATTATTTATTAACTAATACAGTGTGAACACTTCCATAAAGTTTGCACTGCAAGCAGATATTTTAAATAATATAATATAGAGGCTGCCTAAAAAGTCTTGCATATTCCGGTCACTGTATTGCTGAGTATGACATTATTATAAAAAAACAAAATGGCTGGATTGGTATGTGGCGTCACTCATCTGTTATCCTATCTAGCTAATAAGTCAATACATATTACTACATATATAATACAATCCATAGGCTACATAAAAAGCTAAACATGTTACTATTATTACTTATACTGGTAAGGCAAGGCAAATTTATTTGTATAGCACAATTCAGTACAAAGGCAATGCAAAGTGCTTTATATGATTAAAATATAGGAAAATAAAACAGAATAAAAGCAAGTAGGAAAACAGATAAATAAATTAAATTAAATTAAAAATGCAGAAACAAAAAAGAACATTAAAAACAGTTGGACAACTGTCCAACTACTGTAGTTCTAAACTTAGAGCATAAACATAAGAGAAACAAATATGTTTAAATCAATTTGTAAACATGTGACAACATTGAAAACCAGTCTTTCACTTAACAGGCTCACCTAATAACTATTGGATTCAGTTAAAGCAAAAGTAGCTCAATATAAGCTGACTTATGTCGGTTGCAGTGTCTATGGGGTTGACCCTGCTTTCCCTTTTTATTTTGCATTAATCTGTGTTATGCATTCAGGCTTTTGCCAGCACTGGTCATAAAGGTGCATCTTTGGTTTAAAATGCCGACTTAATACACCTTGATAACTCCAGCCTCTTCTCTCAAGAAGTAAAAAGTTGACACACCTGAGGTTATGTAGTGCAATGTGCAACAGTGTATAAAAAAAAAAGCCTTTAAAATGAGTCACAGTAAAAGGAAAATGCTTGCCGGCACTGAGTAGGATGGATTGAGACAGACAGAGCGTAACAGAGAGGATGTGAATACAAGCATGGCGTATACAAACAAACAAAGAAGAGAAGAGAAATAGAGAAACAACATGTGAGAGCTCTGGAGGCAACCGCACTAAGAGAATCTGTAAACACGAGAAAAAAAACTGTATGCTCATCCAACAATCTGGTGCACAACAGGGAGCTTACAGTGATATTGGGACTGGGCAGCAGCACAGTGTTTTGTAATGTGCTCAAGTTAATATGCTGTAATAAATGAACAAATCCCCTCAAAAAGCTAGTCCATTGTGACAAACATAAGGCATTTTGGACTAGCCTGGCCTGACAAGTCCCGTTGTTTGAGTCAAAGGAAAGCAGGAAGCTCTCTGTCAGGATCCATCACCCTGTGGGAGAAGCTGCGGTTATGACTGATAGTTAGAGACATAAGCTTCCAGCGTGCAGGAGGTCAGCCTGTCTGAGTGACAAAGGAAGCAGTTATTGTGCACAAGATGTCACAAGGGATCTGCGCAATCAATAGAAGTTTGCTGAGAAATGTTGAGTCATTGATTCAAACAGGAAGAGGAGGCATTTAACAAAGCTACAGTCTCTGTTCAATTTACATTTCCTTATTTGCAAATTGCCAGTTGCTCATTCAATCTCACACATATCACTTTCTTTCATTACACGGTGTCTTCTAAATTGTTTACCAGATATGCAAATCTTTTTAAAGTTCTTAAAACTGCACAAATTGCAAAGACAAAAAACTTCTGTGCAAACGCGAAGGTGTTCCACTGTTTTATGTGTGCTTAGCTTTACTCACGCTCGACGGTGTGGTGTGCAATCTAACGTCTCACTTGTTTCCCTTTCAGCCATGAAATCCGGAGGCACCCAGCTGAAGTTGATCATGACTTTCCAGAACTATGGACAAGCGCTGTTCAAGCCCATGAAGTAAGTAGCGCAGCAATGAGTTATGTGATTTGATAGAAGCCTTACAGTTGCCTGCATTTTCATAAACATTTCTACAATCTGAAATTTGTTTGTTGCACAGGTTTTTAAATCCCTCAAACCTCTTTCCCTTTTAAATAACATCTATAAATATTTTTAAGAATATCAACCTGAAAACTGTGGGATGCTGCGGCAAACATACAGAAGATGGTGCTCGGGTTTGATTAAATTTAATAAAAAAATTTTTTTATCTATACTAAGACTTTAAAAAGAAAATATTTCAGAAAAAGGAAGCAACCCACAGGAAAGCCAGTATTATGCTTTTATTAGCAGGAATGGTGATTAGCTGTGGTAGGTAATAAAAATGTAATTCTAAAAGAAATAAGCAACTTTATAAAATAGGCTTAACATTTTTATTGTTTTAGGTCTTTGAGATCGTTGAAAATCATTTGAATAATGATCAAGCATTTTGTCATCTATAACATAGAACCCCGTTAATACAGAGTGAAAAAGCTCAGGTGGTATGAATACCTTTGGAAGTATTGCAAATGTAGAAGGGTTGAACAAGGTAAGAAGTGCTGAGTACCAACAATGTCTCTGTTCATATACACTTCTCTCCCCTCTGTGTGAGTTTTTGTTCTGATAGGGGAATCGTCCGCCTCCTTTTTAATTAACATCAACAGGCTTATGTGTTAATTAAAACGAGCATTGAGCCATCCCATAGTCGTCTTTGGGGAGGCCCAACATGCCAGCAGAGGCACATTGCTCTTGAAAAAGAAATACCTTTTAACTCTCAGCTGTCTTGAGTTTTTCCCCTTGAATTCCCATGTCGACACGGATAAACAGAGTCCAGGCCAACTATGCGGCGATCAGAAGTAATTGCTCACAAGCTCGGTTTGATTGCTATGAAATGCAAAAAGGTTTTCTGCATGAGGGCCCCTGTGGAGAACATTAGATATGGGGAGTGAGAGAGGGGGAAAAAAGAGGTAAAGCAATGAAGACATCCGTGGGATGATGTGTAGGTGTGTGTGTGGTATGTGTGTGTGTAAGTGTGTGCTCGGGATGTCTCTCTCTGCTTAAAGACTTGTGAGGAGTGAAGTTCTAGGAAGTTCAAAAAAAAAAAAAACAACTCTTACAAGTTGGACTTCCAATTTTTGATGTCAATTTAACTAGACAAGCAAAACATCATGGAGCCAATCAGAGCTGGCCCCTTTGGGCCCCTAGTAACGGTGAGTGTCCCCAAGAGATTCTCACAAACTTTAAAAAAAAATGTTGCTTTTGTTTGTTGCTGTTGTTTACTGCAATGGAGAAGACTTTAAAAGTGCTCCGATGTTTACAAAGTAGCACACTGACTAAAGTTACAATTCTTAACCAGTTAAGATGGCTGCAACTAATGGTTATTTTGCAAATCGATTTATCTGTCCATTATTTTTTCGTTTAATCAATTAATAATTGGACTGCAAAAGGTTCCTTAAAGATTTTTTTATTAAATTTAACCAAGTGAAACTAAAACTTTTCCTCTTGAGGAGTTCTGGATGGAGCATATTGACAAACAAAAACATATATTTTTTTATCTTAAATGCAAAATGTTTAAATATTTTTTTAAATGTGTTTATGGTTTCTGCTCTAAGTGGGTTGTTCTCTTAGATAAAGATATATTTTAGAGTCTCTATACCCCATTTAACGATTAACCGATTACTAAATTAGTTGAAGATTATTTAAATAATAGATTAATCACGATTAAACATGATTAATCTGATTATTTTTTTCAGCCCTAATATTAATATTTAAATCAAATCAAATTTAAAAGTACTGATAATATTGATAGTGGCCTGTTAACTTCCACTCAACTTCAGCAAGTTCATTAGTATATTATATGTATGCTTTAAAATTCTATAATGCATGCCAGAGCAGTGTGGGGCAAAGAGTAGTGATGCGTGTCCCCTCCTCCACCTGTTGCTGCACACTGCCTATCTATTGGGATGAAATAAAGAAACTGTTTTAGAAGTTGCCTGTGGAAAACTTGAAACTCTCTTTAAACTTTGAAATACTATGTTTGGGAACTAGAGGAGTGCAACATGTCACTACAAAAAAAACAAATGCGGAACAAGTAGCTTATGTGGGACAGTGTGAGAATGGAAGCGGTTTTTCATTCTTGCGCTTCTTTTGTGACTCTCATTTACATTGTTGCTGTACATTTTGCTCCACTTGCAATCACCTGTCACTAACCTTACCTTTATAAACTGCTCAGCTGTCTTTGCGTTTTACTGTATATTTTGTTAAACTAATTCCATTTTATTTTGAATTAGAATCCTGTTTCATGGGAATCGTGCGCAGGTTGGTCACGATGTGGGGCGCAGGCTCAGCTCTGGGACAGTGACTAAAGCTCTGCTTTCTTTGCATTTAGGAAATGCCAGGGATTTTCTTTTCATATTTATTATAGAAGGGGAAAATTCAGCATAATTCTACACTAATGGGGACATCGCAATTTAGTGTTCAGCTGTTTGGAAAACCAAAGTGTGTTAACTGAATAAGCTGGTTGTAGGCAGGCAGTCAGAGCAGGTTGATGACTGAATTACCACCTAAAATCAGCTTTGTGTGCTTTTGTTAATCTACAAATACCCAAATGATGAAACATTCTACAGACAAACCCTTTAAAACTAATGCCAACGTTAGTGATTATTTTTATTCTATCTATTTAAGAGTCTGGGCACAAAAGTTAGTCAGAATTAACTCATTTCCCCATTTTATTTATAGCCTACACTTTTTAACAAATTTATCACAAGTTCGATTTTTTTAATAGATTTCGTAAGGCCAATGTTAAGGCAAATAAAAAAAGCAGTGGTTTGAATGCCGGTCAGCTTTCATGTCTGCAATACTACCAGATTTAATTCTGCTTAGTGTAGCTATGCAACTTTTAGCCTGTCTTTAAATCAACCAGAACAGTAGCCTGAAAGAATCAGCTGCAGTTTTTTTTCTATTTACAATATATCTGGTATTTATTTAGACTGGTGTTTCCTGAGTAGTCAGAAATCACAAACATTGTGAAACAGTAGCCCAAAGAATATGGTTCAAATCTTTTTGTCAACAACACCCAGCAGGCATCTTCAGGGCAGTCACATCTGACAAGATCAAAGATCACCCAAGGTCTCTGCGTGTCTTTGTGGGTGATTCACGTACAATTGGACGATACATGTATGAGTTGCAGATGAGTGTAACTTTCGTGGTAGGCTGGGTGAGCAATCCTTCAGAGCAGAAGCAGGACATGGTGAAGTCCTGGGGTGGCGCTCAGTGTAGCGGTTGCTCTGAACATGTCAAGAGACAGTCCTACACTATGAACAGTCATACAGTGTCTTATAGAGGCATCTGTTAGGGTTTGTCAAAAAAAAAAAACAGTTTTCCTTTGCGGGGCACATCATTATTTACATAAAAAGTATAAAACACATATGTGATGCTTGAATATATTACATTTTGCAAACAAAAACTCACAACATTGAACAGAAATACAATTTAGAGGTATAATGATTGAATGCAGTACATGGTATTGTAAAACTCAAATTACCATAGGACTGATTGAAAGAAAAATTATGCATTTGAATTGAAAATGAAAAGCTCTGGTTTATTACTTTAGACATGACCAAAACTGTCTCTCCCAGATTCTACTGGAAACCGTTTTGACAGTAATTACATGTCAGTTTCTGAACCATGAGCTACAGATTCCTGCAGCTCTTTGTTTGGCCTGTCATATTTTATTCAGGCCTTGTGCTTTGACTGTCACAGTCATCTGTTTGCAGTGTGTACAGATGTTATACAAAGCTCCTTGGAGCAGAATTGCTGAAATAAAAACCTTTCTGGGAAACAAAACTTGGGAAAGAAATAACTTTGTTTCAGTTTTGTTTGTTAAAGAATGCTGTGCTTTTATGGTTTCTCTTATTCTGATCCGTCCATATTTTATTTTCAGGAGTTGAGAGGATCCTTGTAATGTCATGTTTGTGTTGACCCGTCCTGCTGTACAGCATCAAGCAATGTTTCAGAGAGGGTTTGATGCTTCAGGCCTCCTTTGAGGTGGATGCAAATCTCTACAAAGCCATAAGCCTGGAGTCTACATGAGTTGACAGCTTGCCAGCCAACTCCACAAGATGTCTTCCCCATGGAGGCTTCTGAAAGCATTTGAAGCTTTATTTTATCTGTCTAACTAACTTTTGGATTGAGAGTTTGAGCCAACTTTGAAAAACCATCGTTTATATTTAGATCCTCCCCATTAAAACCAATCTATCCATTCGAAACAGTTGCTGCCCCAGGATTTTGATATAAGCATTTTTGTTTAATGCATCCGTACCAAGGCTAATGGAAGAATAAGAGAATGATGAAGTTATGCCACTGATATAATGAGCAGTCATCTACCAGACCATCTAGGTGACAGGAGCATGTTTGTGAGAATAACATTATGTCAGGCCACATTTTATGTTTCTATGAAAGATATCTAGATGGGTTTGGGTAGTTTTATTGAATAATTTAATTACTGCTCACACTTTTCAGTGTTTTTTTGTTTGTTTTTGTAGTGTAGATCAAGCTAGTCTCCACTGCTTTTAAATCCCTTTATATGATGCTGGTTAGATTCCTCAGTTTGTCTGCCTGGCAGTGTGTTTCCTAGACGGGGCCGCCTGTGGAGCTGGTTGACAGTTACCTTTTGTATCTCTGCTTCTGTCTCCTTGAACCCCAGTTGGCCTCGATAGATGGCCGCCCACACCGAGCCTGGTTCTGCTGGAGGTTTCTTCCTGTTTAAAGGGAGTTTTTCCTCTCCACTGTCGCTACAAGCATGCTTGGTGTGAGGAATTGCCTTTGAGTCAATGAGTTGATGCAATCAACTGGTTACCCTTAGATAGAAAAATCTATTTTGAATCAATTTGACTGTATGATCTAGTTTAATTGTCTCTGTAAAGCGCCTACAGATGACGTGTTGTGAATTGGCGTTTTATAAATAAACTGAATTTAATTGAATT